GGGCAGGATGGCCCAGGGTAGAAGTTGCAATACTGCCTAGGTAGCTGAGGACAAAAACCAAGATGATCTCCCAGGGTCTATGGATCACTTGGGACCTGGGGCAGATTCTCTGAAACTTAAATGTCTAAGAAATTGATAATTATTTTGGGTAGAAAAGAACTACTTTACAGATGTGAACAAAACTTTTGTGATAAAGGGTTCTCATGGGCCAAAATATACTTATGTCATATATAAATTATAATCTAAGGACCTCTCCAAAGCCTCAGGTGTCCAAAAAAAAAAAAAAAAAAAAAAAACCTGTCTCCTTTTAAAGGCAAAGGTACTCCCAATCACAGGATTTATTGACCCAATCAGGTAGCAAACTGGGAGTCACAGAAGCAAGACCTTCCAGGGAAGGGTTGTCCATTTTCTAGAAACATGCAGCTGGTGGCTGGTCTGTCTATGACACTTCTTGGCATATTCCATCATCTGCTCCCTCCTTATTTGCTGGAACCATTCATACCAAGCCTAGTCTATCTATCTACCAACACCCCAGCCCACTAGCTCTGCTGCAGGGGGTGAGTCCCAGAAAACTCCCTACCTTGCATGATGAAGCCCTGCCTTCAGCTCTGCTATTATCTTCCTCTCAGATAGAGTGCTGGCACAGAACACGGACATCTTCTACAAGCTGCTGTCTTTCACTAAGAGCCAAGCCTTGGCCACTCTCTCCCTGACACTCTGTCCCCAACTTCACTCCCTCCCTAAGGAAGCCAGGGCTGCTGGAGAACTTTTGCCTTTGCCTCAGTGCTGGCCAAAAGCACCAAATGCTTTATCCAGGAGCCTCTTCCCCTGGGACCAGGGAGGACCAAAGGTCTTGCTAGGGTCACCTAAGGAGGAAAGGAAGTAGGGTTTGAAGGCCTTGGACCTAAGGTGTGCTCTGTCTTACTTAACCTTTGACTCCTTCCAGGGAAGCAAGTTTGTTCCCAACTTGTTTTTCCTAGGTGGCTCTAGGAAGGTTGGCAGAGGGATTTCTCCTACTCTAGCTCCTAGAGGTGGGGGAGGTGCCCCTTGCCTCTCCTCTTGGGTCTCTGCTCTAAAGGACTGTGCTTCAGAGAGTATGAACTACTGTGTAGCTCAGGGGTGGGTGAGAGGCTGGCCATATCCCAGAACCCCTACAGTTGCTATTCTTAGCCCCTATGTCCCACAAGTCCCCATCAGGCTGACTGCCACCCTTTCTCTTCCAGGGGTGGCAATAAGCACCTATGCGAAGTACTGTTACCACAAACTGCAGAAGGCAGCCCTGACTGGGGCCAAGAAGGTACAAATGCTTCTGGAGAAGCAGGGTGGGGCAAATGACTCACCTGCAGTACACACAGAAGTCTGATGGAGGAACAATGAGGCTCTGGAGAGCATTGGCTGGCAGAGTCCCCTAGCCTGTGTTAGTGACTGGCTAGGAAGACTTACACCTAGCTTCCACAGTCTCTTTGTCTTCACGGGCCCCTGACTATGCCTGGGTCTCCAGCTGAGGAGCACTGCATGGGTACACATTAGATAGGGCCACAGGTAACCTACCCAAGTAAGGAGCTCCATCCACCTGGTCATACCCAGCTTGGGAATTTGGCTACCCTGTCCTCTAAGAACTCCAGCTGGCATGGTGAGGTGCAGGAGACAGGCATTGCCGTATTGCCATATGCAAGCCTGTGTTGGGGACCCTCACCTCTCCACCTTTCTGCATATCTGTGGTTTTGGGGTGTTGCAGATGACCTGATGGGAGACTCCTTCAGTGACTTAGTTTAGAGTCTGGGTTGTCCCTGTTTCTTGCTGGGTCAAGGCCCAGATTTAGGGAGAAGATGTAAAAGAACCTCAATGCTGGGCTGTTTTCACAGGGCCTGAAGAAACCTAATGTGGAGGAAATACGACATGCCAAGAACGCAGTGTTCAGCCCATCCATGTTTGGCAGTGCACTGCAAGAGGTGATGAGCATGCAGAAAGAGCGCTATCCTGACAGGCAGCTGCCCTGGGTTCAGACACGGCTCTCCGAGGAGGTGCTGGCACTCAATGGTGACCAGACAGAGGGCATCTTCAGGTGCTTTGCCAACCATAGATTGTGGGTGGGGAAAGGGAGCACAAGTGTGTATTCATTGTCTATCTGTTATATCAAGGACCAAAAAGCCTAGAGGTCTTGCATCCAAAACAGACAAGACAATGTCCCATCCATAGGAGCAAGTTAGCTATGTCACTTCCCAAAGTAACAGCATGGCCAACCACAGACAGCCAACAGGAGTCCAGAGTGACCTAGATACCAGCAAGGACATGATCTAGGACAAGAGCCTCAGAAATGGCATGCAGCTGGCAAGGCAGCTCAGCATCCCCAGTTCATCATCTTGTGTGTACAAGGATGTAATAGACCCTGCCGTGGGGATGGCCCTTGCCTGTCAGGACCAGGGATGCCCAAGCCCCCAGAAGATAAGTAGGGAAGCCAAGCCTGCAAGTTTGGGCTTTAGTGGCCTGCAGAGTCCATGGGAGGAGAATGTCCCCAGGAGAATCCCACACCACTCACCCAAGTGCATGAGGTAGAATGTTCCCAAAGGGGGCAACAAAGCCCTGAGTCATCCCATCCTACATGAGAAAATTAATCAGCATGGTGGGCCCTTGAAGCTCTCTGCCACTCCAAAGTCCAGGACTAGGGCAAGATGATCTCCTCTAGTCTGAGACTTGCCCTATGCACTCTAGGGTCCCTGGTGACATTGATGAGGTGAATGCCCTGAAGTTGCAAGTGGATCAGTGGAAGGTGCCTACAGGCCTGGAGGACCCCCACGTCCCTGGTGAGCTCCAGACATACCTAACAGCTGGGCAGGCGTTTGCCTGCATGCATGTCCTAGAAAGTAGATCACCATTCAGGCCAGGGTTGCCCGTCCAGTCATCCACCCCACGGTCACCCTATGCCCTTGTCCCTCTGTCCTATGCATCTCACCATTCTCTTTTGTCCCTGGAACCTACCTACAGAGGAATTCTCTTAGTGAGGTGATGTCTCCCCATCACTTGTAGATATCCTTCCACCCGCTGGGCATGTCAGTGTTCTGGGTGTTCCAAGGGTTCCGACCCTCCAGAGCAGCCCAGCCCACAACTCACCCCTTCAGCAGCTGCACACCCTTCTGAGAAATTCTATTTTGTAGTCATTGTGGATACACATACACCTATACCGCCCAGATCGATCCCAGATGCCATCTCTGACACAGCTAGAGACTCTGAGATCTGGCCTCTGGTGGATACATGGCTTAGGGGCCCCTAGACCAAGACCATCTAAGCCACTCTCACCCTCAGCATCGCTGCTGAAGCTGTGGTACCGGGAGCTGGAGGAGCCCTTGATTCCCCACGAATTCTATGAACAATGCATTGCGCACTACGAGAGCCCGGAAGCTGCCGTGGCCGTGGTGCACGCGCTGCCGCGCATCAACCGTATGGTGCTGTGCTACCTCATTCGCTTCCTCCAGGTACGCATGTTCTGCCCCCGGTGCCACGCCAATACCTACCTTTCACCCTACCCAATCCACCCTCCCTGCCAACCCCTCAATAGCCACGCCCACCCTCCGCTCTGCTCTTCTCTCCCTTTCCGTTCCCCCCCACACACTTAGGTGTTTGTGCAGCCTGCCAACGTAGCCATCACCAAAATGGACGTCAGCAACCTGGCCATGGTGATGGCACCCAACTGCCTGCGCTGCCAGTCGGATGACCCGCGCATCATCTTTGAGAATACACGAAAGGAGATGTCCTTTCTGCGAGTGCTCATTCAGCATCTAGATACCAGCTTCATGGAGGGCGTGCTATAGCACGCGGGCTACGGACGCC